AGTCCTTGCTCAGTTCATAATTGTCAAAGAATTTCTGATCAGTATCATGGAATTACGAACTATATACTAAAAAAAGCAAAAGAAAAAGGCACTTTTGATCAATATAATTATCTAGAAGTTGAAAAGCAATTATGTTATTTTCATTATCTTAGCATAATTGAGCCTGATCGCAATAACAAAAATAAGTCTCTAGCTAATAATGAAAAGACTATAATCAAGCTTGAATCTTCTATAGAAATCGATAAACTAGATAGTTCAACAGAAGCTCTATTAACTGATGATAAAATAAAAAAATTAAGCGACAACGAATTAGTTAGTTTAATTGAAAAACTAAAAAAAGAACTAGAAAGTAGAAGAAAGATGTTAATTATAATAATGCTAATAAGTTGACACCTAATAATAATAATAATGTAATTATAAGCAAATCGTTGACTTTTGGCAATAAAATTGCTTTAATGACCAAAGTTCTCTATGAAAAACAAAAAAAAGAAAGTCAAATACTTGAGTTGAATCCAGATAATTTTCAATCAATGCTCGAGAATTCTGAACTGTTATTAAAAGGATTTTTTAATAAACTATACAAAGCATTAATTCCAAATAGACAATCTGCTTATAATAAGAAAGAGAATAAAAAAAAAGTAATTAATATGTACTATTCAATAGCAGCAATTCGCAATAAATTTGTAAACAATTATCTTCTAGAGATTAGTTTGTATCTTGCAGCGTCCAGTATATCGTGCGATGCAATTAATATTATGTATAATGCTGGTATTACGGTCTGTTATAAGACTATAGAAAATTATAGAAAAAAGATCGCAAGTGAGTATCCAAGAAATATTCGAGAATATTTTACTGAAAAGGTAATAATACTCTAAGAATATAATTTAAAAGTAGACTTGAATATCTATAATTTAAGTTTATATCTGTAATTCGAATTAGTGTTGTTACTAGCCTTAAATCCAATACTTTCGTTTAGCCCTAGTTTTAATTCCATTTAAACTTAGTCATAGTCTAGTTAGTAGTGATACAAATTGTCAAAGTTTTTTAATCAATTAACTAATCGATTAGTTGATGTCTAAGAAGTTCAATCGATTAGTTGTCAACTACCCAACTAATCAATTTTTTTCAACTTTCATAATACTACCGATTAGTTCAAAAACAAATACTAGTTTGAATAGGTTTGTGTTTCAAATAACAAATTCATAAATTATTAATTAGAATTGGTTAATTTTTTTTAATAGAGTAACAGCTTTTTTGTATACAATATTGATGATTATTATAACATACATAAAATAAGACATCCTGATATTATATCGCTCTCAGCACCAATCTATTTTGCAACTTGTATCAGCAAGAAAATTTCTAGATGTGCCTCTATTCCAATTAATTATAATGCCTATTCGGTTTATAACCCTAAAAATGTAGATGCACTATTAATTTGTTTAAATTTAATCACGAAATATCACGAAATCTTTGATCTTTCATATTCACAAAGAAAGAATCAGTGAGTTGCTTCACAAAAAACGGAGTTACTTAATTTTGATAAAATCGACCTTCTTTCTGTTCATTGCTATGATGATGCTATTAAAAATCTGCAAAAAGA